GCCATAAACCTCTTGATTGACATGTTATAATGAGTTTACCGCTCTCAGCTAAAGCCATGTTGAAAGTCTAGGCCATAGTGGGGAGCAGTTCATGCTATGTGGATTACATGAGGCTTCAGTGGGGGGGGGCACATAAGCTTTTCAATTCCCCCAAAAAAAAGCACTGGAAATTTGAAAATCCCTTTGACATCATGTCAGCCCACATGTGAAGCCATTGTTGTTGGAACATACCAGTGGCTTGCTAACCTGTCATGTTTCATGCATTTCTTGTTAGAGGAAATTAGTCATGAAGATTCCATCATATTACATGTAATTAGCAGACACTCTTATCTAAAATGACGTACATTTGAGAAAGCAGAGGCAGCCAGTTCCTGAGAAAAGGAAGGGTTAGGGGCCGTATTACTCAAGGACCCAACAGTAATAATTGCTCAACAATAACGGGACTTGAATCAGCAACACTCCTAATCACTGAGCCACACAAAGCAACAGTTGACTAAGGTAGCGACGGGAAAAGCTGATGACCAGGGAGAGGGAGTGGCTATGACAAAAGTTGTGAACCGGTATGCAGATGATGCAGAACATTTGCATGGGATGTCTAGGGTTTGGGCTCTGTGACCATGATCAGAAGGTCATGGGTTCAAGTGCAGCAGTCAGCAGACTGAGTTCCTCTTTGGGCCCTTGAGCAGGGCCCTTAACCCCTAACTGCCCCAGGAACTGCCAGACCTTGCTTTTTCAAATTCATGTTGCTTTGGTCTATGCTAAATTAAATTAACGGCGAGAAGATTGTGTGCCCTTTTTCTATTTTAGTAACAAACACTGAACAGCGAACACAGAAACAAACATGTGTTCTGCTGCTACAGTAATGTGGGTGGAACATTTCTCTCAAGAGATTAGAAACTGGTTTTTAAGGGGCTCTGCTATTTGTTTACAGAAAAATGCCAAACAAGAAGCAAGGATTTGATGCCCTGATCGGCCCATTGGTTAATGGATATTTAAGAAAAATAGGAGGGGAAAGTGACGGCCTGTTATTGTTTTGTGGTTTCCCCTCCTTACACACATAGCTGACCATCAAGCTGGAAATTTACATCAAAATAAAAGCTTTTCTGTAAACAGGGAAAGCTCAGCACAATATTAAAGTCATGCTGTAAAATTACTGAAGTTGACTCAGAATGCACTGTGCTACTGCAGTTACATTATCAGCTGAATATAACCTTTTTTTAGTGCTTGGGTAATTCACAATCTCCTAGCCCCATTTCACAGGACTAAAAAGAAGCTAAATAATTTTATTAGCCCTTAAACAATCAACAGTCCCTGTACTTTGTAAATTTCTAAATTTGCCCCTGTGTCCCCAGCCCACAGAGGCACTGAACATATCCCAAGATTAAGGCATTGGGGGAGGACCCCCGAATACTAGTACATCTTATCTAAGGCGGCAGATCAAAGTGTACCCCCTGTTCCCGTCAAAAACATTAAAACAGCATTCTAATGTCTGATGACACGTGTAGTCACATGACGAAAACACACAAGTTACACTAGTGTTCCTCAGTATTTCATTACATTTATTCATTAATTCGATGCTGAGCTGAATCTGTTTAGCCTCGAGCAAAGGAGACTAAGGGGGGACATGATCCAGGTATATAAGATTCTAACAATCTTATCCACAAAGGGCCTGTGTGTATGCGGGTTTTCGCTGCAGCTCCCTAATTAGATTGCTAATTAGAGGACTGATTGACTGAAGAGTCCTCACACCTGGGTTTGAACAGCTGACCTAAAGGTTACCCTAAAACCTGCATACACACTGGCCCTTTGTGGATAAGATTGGCCACCCCTGTTCTAACAGGTCTGGATCATGTTCAGCCAGATGGCTACCTCAGTATTAGCTTAAATACTAGAACTTAAATACTTAGAGAAATTAGCGGGAGAACATTTCAAAATGAATTTGAGAAAGTACTTCTTTACACAGCGTGTAGAGTATGGAATAGTCTTCCTGTTAGTGTAGCGCAAGCTATAACCCTGGGTTCCTTTAAATCAGAGCGAGATAAGATTTTAACAACTCTGAGCTATTAGTTAAGTTCTCCCTAAACGAACTTGATGGGCCGAATGGCCTCCTCTCATTTGTAAATTTCTTATGTTCTTAACCAACTTACATTACAGGGAAGGGTTACAGTTTGTGTGTGTTGCCTGGGATTTTTATTCATTTAAATGTTATTTATTTTATTTAATAAATGTTAATAGCCAAAATAAAACCCACCACAAGTCATTGCTACCAAATTTGTAAGATTTACTTCACTGGTTTGCCTAATTGGGGTCTGGCTGCAGCTTTAGCCAGGATCATATTACAGTGACATATGCTGAGCTCTTTATGAAACATTTAACAAGCACAGCAGCTAAAAAGTACAAATCCTTGCATTTAAATTGAGTTTCTACAGGGCAAAGCCACAGAAACAGGGGGCGGTGCGTCTCAGCAGGTTATAATGCAGCTACAGGGCAAAGCCACAGAAACAGGGGGCAGTGTGTCTCAGCAGGTTATAATGCAGTGCCTGCTATTGAAAGGTTGCCGATTCGCATCCCGGGGTTGTGGGGTTGGCCGGTAACACCTGATTGCTCCCAGCACTGTCTGAACTTACCATCCGGATCATACATCACTTTGGATAAAAAGATCTGACCAATAAATAATAGTAATAACAACACTATAAAAGTAATTTACAATACTAATATTACCATGGTAATTTATACATCTGCCAAGTTCATTCTGAACTTCAGGCCAAAAAACAATGAAAGCAGGTTTTGATATTTAATCCTTTCACTGTGGTAGGAGCGGAGACCGACAGGCCACGTGATTCAGGTGAAGCTGAAACGCTCGGCAGAGGTGCTTCACTAGCCAGTGAACCTGCCACCCGTTTAAAGTCACTGTGATACCGGAGACGGCTGCAGTATGACACGGACGGCGGAGGGCGCGGCTGCACTGACAGCTGCGTAGAGATGCTGCAACTGCTCGTGCACGTCTTCCCTGTGGGGGGTATCCGGGACTCTCCTGGCAAAAGGCCAAACTCTGCAGACATGGCAATGCCGTTTCATAAACGACGACCCCCCCCCCACACACACACACACACCTGTGATTATGTATGCTTCGGCACAAGGTGTCGGCGGAGGGGGCATTGATAACAAGGCTTCTGCATATCCACCGGATGCTCTGACGCTTTGTTTCCATTGCGTTAACCTTTTGCGGTTGACTCAGCGGAACATTACACTGGTAGACCTTACTCTGTCCATTGTTGCCGCTGATTGCTTCACAAAAGACCATCAGATCATCAGAGTTGTGTTAAAACAACTAAAATGAACAACTCCGTTAACTCCAGCACCATATAAAACTCAGCACCGACGGGACTCCTGATGTTACGGGAAATTAACGAGTTGCTCGGAGACTGGAATTTACGTTTATTCATTAATTCTGAATTTGAAGCTGGGCGCTGGAAGCCACTGGGAGGACACATTCCTTTCCGAAATGCTTCCAGATCCATTTTAAAAATCGGGGTACAACGAACCACACGCACACACAAAGTGAAACATGTAGCCTATCTCTATGAAAGGCCTCACTCACCACGAACACTGTTGGCAATACATTAGCAAGACCTCTCGCGACGATCCCCCCCACCCCGGTCGGAGAAATCTGTCGTCGGAGACTCCCAAGCAACCAGTTTTTTCGTGAGGGTGAGACGAAGCGTTGAGAACCATTTAGTGAGAAGTACAATGATTTGAAACGCATAATTTAAGAGTTCTTAACCCACAGATTTCTGCGTCCTTAAGAACTAGTCATATTTCAAATTATCTTTCGATTGCCTTATAAAATATAACTTTCCCCACCATCTTCAATTATCTCTGTAATGATAAGCGTCGCTGAACGTTTTGTGTATTCCCCTCCGTTTAAAACAACGCGCTTCTGCACTTTGTACTGCGCCGTTATTCAATTACAGTAACCATGAGACATTTAGTTGAAGATAAGCAATCTGTGACAATATCAATATCAGGTTACTCACCTGTTATTCATATTACGGCATGTTCTCAATGCGGCAAAACGTTATTACCCGATCACTAGAGCCCACACAGAGTCCACAGATCACTTCGTGTAACACACGTTTGCTTTTTGAGAAAGGCCCACAGTTAGATTTCTGTATGGTTACAATGCTGGAATATATCTTTAACTTTTCCATGCAGCCGTAACTACAGTACCAACGTCGTTATTTTAGAGCTTTGCGTAGCTTTTTGTTATGCATTTCCCAAGAGACGGATTTTCTAATACGGATTCGAAATTTTACTCATTATACGTCTCGCTGTATGTCGCATTTGAACAGAATAATCTGCTAAAGAAATATGAATGTAACATAAATGGCATTATTTGGTCAGCATTTTATGCGGAGGGAACGTTTTGTACTTTGGTTCAGCTGTTACGAATCTGGGTGCATTTGATCTCTGCTGCGCCAATTTCTATGTTTTAGTTTTCTGTCCCTTGGCGAAATCTGGGATTGCATACATGCATCCGTTCCATGCTTGGCCGCATTTACCTCATGGTCACTGAAGACCATGTGAGTTGCTGAGCTAGAAGCAGATTGCGGGGTGTGAAACATATACATATGTAATACCCTTGAAAATCGTATTACAGACTTAAATAACAAAGGTACTCTTTAGCTTAAATTCATTAGTTAACTTCTACACACAGGAGATCTTTCTTTAGGTCCTCCCCCGAGCCCGAATCCAGCGCAACACGTGTACTGCCAACTAGTACCGAAAAAGAACGTTCTACGCTTAAAATTGACGATTGTATAACGCAGAACTGGTTTTGCGAGCGCAATTGAATCGGGGCTCCCGAAAGGACGGCTACCAGCAAGCTCACATTTCTGTTATTATGTAGCGAAAGATACTATTAATTTACATCACAATATGCAAGCGATATGCAAGCCTGCGGCGTGATTCAGCAGCACCGCTCGTTTGGGATATCTGACCTGTTTTAAACCTGAGGTCCTCGTCGTTGGAGGAGCCGAACTCTGCCAGAAGGGACACGTAAAGGATGCCGAAGGAGTTTTGGATCCCGAACACCGAGCCGTTGCACCACATTGCAGCCAGCATGACCACCCATCCCCATCCTCCTTCGGGGTGCTCGAACTCTTTTGTGTCAGCCTCGGGGATCTTCTCCGTGGTGGTCCCCTTGCTCTCCCCATTCTGCCTCTTGTCCTCCGTTACTCCTTCGCTCTCCGTCGTGGGCACGGTGCCGATCGCGTCTTTTGTTGTAGCACAATCATTGTCTGTCATATTGCTTCTTCCAGTCTTCTCCTGCCGCTCTTCTGCTGAGTACTGTTGCAGTAAAATGCATATAATAGCGGCACTAAATGAAATTGATTTAAGCCTTTTGGCTGCCTCAGTGTGTACTCTACAAACAGGTAACGAACTTAAAACATAAAGCAGTGATCTGAATTATTTTAGATGTGTTCCTCACATCAGTCAACGCACTTTAATGCTTAATATAGTGTCGAGTATTTCTTGTTAGAAAATGCAAAACAGAATATGAATTCTATCTAATTTAAGTGTATCCACTTATTGCAGCCTACTTGCAAGTGACAAGCAGTGTTGCAACATTGTAAAATACTTCAGATTCGGGGCGGGACATTCGTAGGAGAGATTCGCTCATTGGACACTATGCTCTCAATTCAAGAGTAATGGCAAGCCACGCACAAATGGTATAGTAGTGAGCTTAACTAATTATGTCAATTATTTAGTCCTATATTAAAAGCATTCACTTTCTACATTACTACTTTAAGTTTGGCCGTGCTGAAATACCATGCTTTTGCAGGTAATACTGGACAACAGTAATAGAGAATTATTTGGTGTGGCACGTAACAATGTCTGTCAGACCCTGCTTTCTCAATTGTACATTCCTTAAGGTAAAAGTGATCTTCCCAAGATACATGTGGTATTCACGCATCATATAATGTCCAGTACCTATAAATCTGAAACACTCACATGTTTCTTAAAATTCCAAATTCGGAGCAGTTCTGTAATATGCTATATACACTATTGTTGGTGCCTTATGGGAGTTTACAGCGACATCTAGTGTAGATACACATCTACCAAATATTCGAGTCGATACTATACGACGTCCTTCATGTAATCGTTTGTCTTTAAAATCTAAGTTCCGTGGCTTTTCCTGAGCGGATTTTACAAGCAACGTCGTAACACAAGCATACAAACCAAATGTTAAAGCTATGTATTTTTTTAGGTAATTTGTCCAAATGCCATCAATGTCATTAAAATAAAATACTTAATATTCAGAAAAGAAATGTCCGTTAAGCCATTTTAACTTTTTTGCTTTTTTCACCTAATATGCGAATTAGGCCTATAGATAACCTTTTTGATCGCCGTCCTGATTTTGTCCAACTTTTCATTGTTTTTGCACGATTATTTTATACCTTGGAATATTGTTGCTTCAAACAATTTAACATTCGCGCCCATTTCAATCTATGTGCCAATGTCATTTGGCATCACGGAAAGGGTGCACTTAATGTCTTGCCGTTACTTTAACTTCACCCTCCCAGTAAACTTGACAGTAAAATTGTTTTTCAGTAAGTCTTAATAGAAATAATAGATTTCAAAGGGCGTTTAAGGTAGTGATGGGCAAAATGATACTTATAAACTATTTGATGTTTTTTTTTTACTCCACTAGATGGTGCTGTCTGTTCAAAAAAGGGCTCAAAGCATGCCTCAAAGCAAGCCAAGAGCGCCATCTAGTGAGGTCAAAAAATACAGCAGATGGTTCTTGAAGCTTCATTTGCCCATCACTAGTTTAAGGTGGCAAGGATCTTGTGGATAAGAAACTGCGAATGAGAAACATGACACACAGGCAGACAGAAAAGTTTCGACTAGGGCTATCACATATAACATAAGCCGACATTCAGTACTCAGTTGATGTGTTGAATGCAGAAGAGATGGGCAGGGGAAAAGTTCTGCAGACCCAGCAAACATGGAACCATCAGGAAATGTTCCCTAAAGGTTCCCCGAAGGTTCCAACCTTCAGAGAACGTTCTTGGAACATTCAAAAAGGGTTCCACAAAATGTGACCTTTTACAAACGTTCCTAGAACGTTTTCTAAAGGTCACATTTTGTGGAACCTTGGGAGAACCTTTAGGGAATGTTTCCTGAAGGTTCTACTAAGGGTACATTTTTGTATCCTTTTACTAACGTTCTGTGAATGTTCCCTTGAGGTTATTTTTATAGAACCATAAAATAACCTTTAGGGCATATTGGTTAAATGCAGAAGACACATTTTATTGTGCACTGTGTGCTGTGATGTGTTTATCAACACTGATCTATAAATTTGAATGCCCATTAAAATTGTCTCCAGTGTGCACTCTATTTAATCCAAAAAACGAAAGCCCATCCGGGTATTCCATCAGTACTTGACACATGAAGGTAATCGATTGGTCCCTGATACAGAACGCGGGCGCCTAGTGCGTCAGATTTGAAAAAGACGACGTGCGCTCGCGGACGTTACTCGTCGTCGGGGGAACCAGCAGCTTAGAGACAGGTGATGTAAATGTTGTATAGAATGTCTAAGTATATATGTCATATTATATTATATTAGATGATTTCAGAGAAGATTTCATGTAACGTTTTTACCATTACACGCACTAATCTGACAGAATTTCTAAGATTTTATTTAATTAATTAATTAATTAACTTTCAACGTAAGATAGCTATGCTAACCTGACAGGATTTCTGAGAGAATTATATGTAATACCCCAGAACTCTAACTAGGAGCAATGAGCTTCAACATGATGTTTTCTGCATTTACATTTAGTCATACATGACCATTGAAAAATGTATTATCATGTTAATGTTATAATACTGGAAAAAATACTATGACACGCTCTCAAGTTTCATCGAATGTTTAGAGTGAGATTACATCTGTTCATTTTGGCTGCAGTGACCCCTCGGCCCCAACCATTTCTTTATAATGGTATTTTATTAACTTATTTTAAATGTATTTTGGTATTTATCATTATAAATATACAAATGTATAATACATATGTTGTATAATAAAACACATTTGAACAAGCTAAGTGAAATGTTTAATTTCTGTTTCTGATAATTTGTTATAAATTGTTTTACATTTGTATATTTTTGGGATTATTTTGGATTTTTGGTAATTTCGGTGTTTTACTAATCCTCGACGGGAACTGGAGAGAGAATCATTACAATATTGAATTATTTAAGTCTGCGAACTGTACAGTTTATCAAAAACGAACCTTCCGAGAACGTTAATAAAACTTTCCTGAATTACGTTAGCGGAACGTTCGCTTAAGTGATCGTGTAACGTTCCCGCACCGCTTAGCGAACATTCGCCGAACCGAAAATTGTTTGCTGGGTAACCATGGTTCGAATTTCGGGGGGTACAGTACCCCCGATCAAGACCCAGACCCCCCCCCCCCCCCAAATAGACAAAAATAGCAGTTTTGGGGGGGGTCTTAACATTTTTATTTCGTTGTAAAAAAATAAATAAAAAGATAACCTCACCTTGTAGGAACATTTTATGTAAAACGATGGACCGTACCATTTTACCCACCTCTGAGATAGAAGCAACTTAGCCAGTTGGTTGCGTCATTCATTCTCATTGAGTGACCAGTTCATTGTGTTTGTCTGTCATGGTACTGTTTGTCGTGCATTGGTAAATGTAAATAGCCAGCAGAAGTCTAGCATGTTGAAAATGTGTTATTTTACAATCTTAATTTATTCGTTTAAGTGTTTCATCTACTAATGCAAGCTGACGTCTTTATAAGTTGAATTATACCAATGTCCTTCTGAGGCCGATACAGTCAACGTTAGTTACGTTAACTAGCAAGATAAGCTAAGTTTTCTATTTAAAGCAGGCTTATTTGGTGAGGTAAAATCGATCATGGTCATTTTATAAGCCCTATTATTTTAATTTTAGTGGTATTGATTCTGCATTCCACAATTTCATATTTATGAACATATTTAGAAGCTTCATCTGATAGCCCAGATACTGTTTTGTTAAACATAGATTAGATTTTATTCACAGACACACTACTAGGAAATGGAAAGATGGAGACATCAGACACTTTTTTGGTGGTAAAAGAAGAGTAAGTAGGAAACATTACTGTTGAGAGCTATAGAACATTACACCAAAAGTATAGGTGCAGTTTTGCAAACTGTTAATGTGAATGAAGGAAAGTGGTGGTCAGCAGAAGGCAGGAGAGGCACAGGAGCAGGGAGATGGCAGGATGAGGACAGTGAGCAGGCAGCAGGGAGATGGCAGGATGAGGACAGTGAGCAGGCAGCAGGGAGATGGCAGGATGATGACAGTGTGCAGGAAGATGGCAGGGTGAGGACA